GGGGGGAACCCACAAACGGGCGTCCGTTCGTTTTTTTTGGGTTTTTCCCCCCCCAACCAAGAGGGGGGGGGGAACCCCGATTTTTCCGGCCAAGAAAAAACAGCCCTGGAGAAAACTTTTCCCCTAACCAGGATTTTGGAAATCGCCACCCCCTGGGCTGGGGGTCAAATTTTCCTTAAAAAGTGGTTGAAACCCCTGCCCTTTTCCCCCCCTTGAGGGTACTCCTTTTTTTCCCCCCAAAACCCTTTTTAAACCGGGTACAACCAACCTTTTTTTTTTATTCCGGCGCCCCAAACTTTCAAGTTTGGTTTTTTGTGGGCGGAAACATCGGAAATGTTTTCCTTTTTCCTTTTGGGTTTGGCCATTCCCAATTGCGGGGGGGGGCATTACTTCCCCGGAAGCGGGAGCTTAAGGCCCAGGAGGAAGAAAACCCCCCCCCCCCCCCCCCCCGTGTGAAAGGGGTTAGACATCGACGAAGATGAAACGCTGGAAACGGAGGGTCTACAGGGGTTCAAGGAGAAGATATCTGCTGCTTGTGCCGAGAGAGAAGAACAGAATCTAAGGAAATAAACCAAGGATAAGGAGGGTCTGGAAGTGTACGGAATGTTGAAAGAAGGAATAGGGTTCAAGGATTACCTACATGGACCAATGGATGCAGGGACAAAGCTTAAGGTCAAATTCAGGACCGGGGACATAGGCCTTCGAGAACGTCGACGAAGACATAGGACGGTAGACGACGAAGACGACAAGTTCAAATGTGATTGCGGCTTCGAATGCGAAGACCGTGTTCATGCAGTCGCGGAATGTCCGTGGTACGAAGAGGAGAGGGAAGTGTACATGACTGAGCTGGGAAAAATACAAGGGACGTACAGGGAGATGTTTGAGGCATGGAATAGAGAGGAGAGGACGGTAGCTGTACTGGGGAGTAGGAAGTGGTTTGAAAAGGCGGGAAGGGATATCGTTAGGATAGATAGACTAGGGAAGATGTTTTTGAGCCACCTTTGGCAAAGTAGGAAGGAACGATTGGCCATCGGTGATCGGTCCTGTGGGAACAGTGCTCCGTCCTTTCGAGGACGCGTGGTCAATGGTCTAACCGCTAAGGCATGCAAAACATAAGAGTACGCCCCCCCCCCCCCCCCCCCGTGTTTTCCTTAAACAGGTAGATATCATGGTGAATTCTCCTTGTCTGCAATCCACAATGACAGGTTGAGTGATGGGGCTGGAGAGCAGCTTGTCACACAATAGTCTCAACAAGAAGCAAGAGGAGCACTCAGCCTACCCGGCTTTTTTTGTTTGTCCACGTCTGCCTGCTGCCCTTGTCCTTGCAGGATTGGCGGAGGGCAAGCTAAGGCGGGAATTGCGAGGGTTGTGTCCCCTTGGTCGTTGATGGCCCAGGGCATCGCCGCAGGCAGTGTAGGCTTCGTCCTCGGCAAGGCTGTGGGGCTCCCGATGGAGAGGGTAAGTGTTCATGTCTGCGAACGACTGGGGGAGGGTCATCGCCACAATTCGGGTGGTTGTGGTTTGGTCTATGATTATGCCGTTCTTTTTCGTTTTCTGGAGACCAGTTTGTTGCTTCGCCGTCCTGATTTTTTTTCGCGTCTCGCTTCGTATCCTGTTTCTTTGTGGTTCCGGTTGAAGTAATTCGGTTCGGGGGGTGCCAAACAAACAAGGGGTTGGCTACTACTTTAATCACGGCTGGTGTCATGCACGGGTGCCCATTGCACAGCTGTTGCAAAGCACCTGGTACCCGTTTGGTTTTGTGGGACGCAGTTACGTATCATTCTTTGTCCGATTGGCTGCAACCATCCCCCCCTCCCCCCCCTCTGCTGGCTGCTGATACCCCACCCTCCTACCCATCCCTGCTCCCTACCCCCACCCGCGTTGCTCTGCTTTTCTTCGTACGCACGACCTCTTCTTTTTTTTTGCTTTTGGACGAAACCGCCGGTTTGTTTGGTCTTCTTCTGCTGCGTCCTGCGGCAATCGACGAACATCTATCTCATCCCTGCACCAATGATGTTGGCATGAACCATAACTATTCATCCAGCCGCTGGAGCTGCTGAACGCCCGCGGCTTCGAGGCGGACCGCGATGTTGGCGGTGTCGAAAGAAAGTGATGATGGCGATCGATCATGGATGATGGTTTTGGAGGATGAGTTTGTTCAGTGGGACGGAACCACTGACGAAGTTCCATGAGCTCGTCTCACTGGAGCAGAACCGTAGGCGTGCACCAGGGGGCGGGGGCGGGGGGTCTGCGGACGATGGAACCACAATTTGCCGTTTTTTTATTCACGAGGACGAAATAACACGTGTTTTCATGTGTGCCACGAGAAACACTTGAAATATGAATATTGACTAGTCGGCAGGTTTTCTTTCCCTCGATACCGAGAGTTCACGCTTGATTGAGTATCGGTTTGATCTGTCTTGAGTTGTGTTGCGGACGAGAGAGGGAAATGTTTGATTTTTTTTGTTTTCCAAGAAGCGCGGCGAGTGCCTCTCCTTTCAGCCTGGGCCAAATCCGGTAGTTAGTCGTCTTACGTGATGGCTTGAGACGGGGGTGGTGTTAATGTCCTTTGCGGCGAAAAAAAAATGTTTTTGGTGCCTAACACGAATTGAATCAAGACCCCTCCCTGGGGTTTTGGAACACTGCCGGGTACATGAATGCCCGGTACGGCTTGCCTAGGAGATAGATGAATAGTAGGACCATGCGTGCTTCGTGGCTTGGCTGCCAACCGCTGATGACACGTCGCGTCGGGACTACTGTCGGTTTTTTGTGTTGTCCTCCGTGTTTTGGTAGGTGTGACGCTCGCTCTCCGTGTGCCTGACTACGGAGTCGACCAGTCACAGCATCAACATCACTGATTCAGTCGTTTGTGGTGGCGACGGAACTGTACGTGCACGCGTGGTGTAGGCTACAGTGACCGGCACGATCATGGCGAGTGAGTGTGTCTACTACGTGGATGTGACCGTGATGCCCGGTCACGCACACCCATCCCTGACGAGGTATTTCGCTTCATTGGTCAGTCAGCTGCCGCACGTTAGCAACGCATGTATGTTTGACGACCAGAAAACTACGGGCACCTACCTCTCTCTATCGTTCGCGGAGAACCCTGTCGGAAGTGTGACGTGGGTTTAATTCCAGCGCATCGGTTGAGTAGAGTATGCCCTAGGCATCGGCTTCTCTGAAGGGAGGGGGTACGAACAACGATATACACTAATTGATTGGGGGTAACAACGTCACGTATCTTTGGCGTGCCCAGGCTCACAGAAGAGGTTTTGTTATATTACAGTTGGTTTCGACCCGTTCGAGTGGGAGGAAGATGAGATGGACGAGTCAAGAAGCACGGCCATCCACATGTTTTGCATGGTGTCGCCCCTTTTTGGTAATTTGGACGTCAGTTCTGCGTGTTGGAATAGGGAAGGCATATTTCTCAATAATCCCCGTTGTGAGCATGTTGTTCGTGCACGTGATCCGTTCGGTTGACAAAAAAAAAAGTTGGGTTTTACCCAGGCTGATAACTGGGTGTTGCGTCTCGTGCCACCAAAACAAAACGCTAGTATAATACCGGAAGTCAGGCATCTGTCTCTGTTTGCTCAAAACGGTACACTCGCCGAATTCAGAAGAACTCAGAAAATAAAATCATCAGATCATCAGAGGATGATTATCGCGTTCAAACATGAGAGTACATCACTCTCACAAAAAGTAACTCTTCCGTGAGGCCCCGAATCGGGGCTTCAGCAAGGAGGCTGGTACAGGACAGATGAATTCCTCACCAATTTGTCGTCTGAAGGGGCGAAGGTGTGATGAGCAGAAACTTTGGATTGTTAAATGATAACATTCCGATGAGATCGTTCCAAAGACACTGCTCTATTCTCCATCCTGTCGCTGATCAGAGTGACACAAACGGCAACGAGTCCTGCAAAACCCACGTAACTTCAGATGTGACCCCTGGCCGATTTGATAAATAGAAACCGCCAACATGCGTTCTTTGGTCTATGTAATCCATGTGGCCCAAAAAATTGTCTGACGTCGCATAACACCTCACCACCCCTTCCTTCCCTCCTAACACACAATCCAAACCCTCGTACCTAATCGCATCCGATTCGACACCCACGATCTGAAGTGCTAGAAAATAGGCCTCCTAATCTAATCTACAAACCTTCCGCTTTTTACACCTCCCACTCTCCCGTCGATCTTCGACCTACGCGGACACTCGAGTTTTGCCTACCCCAGCCAGCCGGGAAACATTACCCACGGCGTGATTTCGGCTTCAAAAACTGTGGATTCCGAGTCACTCCTTATGTAGATCATGAAACGATTTCGAGCTGCGCATGTTTAGTACATGTGAGGACCATGGCACCAAAGGACAACTCCCGCCAAAATTGGAGGCATGCATCGAAGCAAACGTGCACGCCGTTTAAAGGGATCTCACAGCCGCGCAGGCAGCACTAACGTAACGAAGTCTTTCATCATGTCACGGCCCTAGTTTGACCTCATCGCGACACATGACAGATGTGGACTCACTCTCAGTGCGTGAGAACATCAAGTACCAGAAATAAATGACGCTTCAGACCCATCGCTCGCCCAAGAAGTGGGGTTCGTGGGTGTTTGTTACAAGCCATCCCGAACCACTCGCTAGCCCAAAAACCAGAGTTTGGTCGCGGCAACAACCACAAGAAAACGACCGCACTCTGCACAAAGTCCGAAGTCTCCTCACCTCTACAGGCGCTCCTATTCAAAATTAGAATGATTGCACGCAAGCCGCGCTAGATACCACCTCAGCTACCGCTGTGATGCAAAGAAACGACGGGGGCACAGCAGTCTAGATGCCTGATTGCCCCTTAAACGCCGTCCAAAAACACGCCACGCCGTCTCCCGTTCTACCACATCCCGAAGAGACCCTTCTTCTCGCCGTTGAGCTGCTTCTTCAGCTTCTCCTGCTTCCTTCGCTCCTCTGCGGCCTCCTTCTCCACGCGTCGCTTGACCGCGGCGGACATCGGTGCGTTCGTGGCGGCCCTCTTCACCTTCTTCTGCTCGTTAATCCTTCGCTTGTTGTCCACCTCAACCCCCGGGGACTTCTGCGCGGCGCCGGAAACCCACGGAAGCGGAGTTCCACCGAAGATGGAGACGCTCTGCTCCTTCTTGTACCCACCCTGGAAAACGGAGACAAAAGGGTATGTTCGAATGTCAGATGCGTGTTACTTTCAACTAATGAATAACCGCTTCGTTGTACGACGTCTGTATGCGGTGCAAATCCAGTTTCTATACTGGCCCAACCCGCGCAAAGTGGCGTACGGTTGAAATGATGCCGACAGTCTGCTAGCACGTGCTATGCATACGATACGGTTGTCCAGCAATCGCTCCTGTGCTGTTTCTCCCCTCTCCCAGGTCTCCGGACATGTGCAACAAGTGTCCGTCTTCGGCAACTTAGATGGTTACGCGGTTTCAACTTTCGAATATATGCATGGCAAACCCACCGCTGCGTAGGCCTTGTCCGTCGAGGACCACGCCTTCTGCTTCACGCCCTTCGAGACCTTGTTGTTCAACACAACCTTGTCCTTCCTCGCGCGCATCGCAGCCTGCCCCTTCTTGCTGGTGAGGTCGGAGTTGTCCCACGCACCTCCCCTCTGCATGTACGGCACCTGGGGTTCATTCGTGGTTCAAGTCACGCAGCCAGCAGGTTTCATCATGTCGGGCAACGGGGAGGAACTACGTGCTCCCTGACTTCACTTGCTGAGGATAGGCCGGTCAAAAGAAAGCAACGCACCCACGTTTCTGTTCGCCACGAAACCAGTTCGCTAGCCGGTGCCTGCTTCTTGATGGTCCAGAAAAAAACACCGACCTCTGCTGTCCACACCTTAGGACACCAACAACGATCCAACGTTTGGGACTACTGCTGTACGAGGTGCGCCGCTCACCTTGTCCATTGGAATTTCGCCTGACTTGACCTGCACACCGCCACCAGGTAGACGGATGGACGATCGCCGCAACAGGAGCGACAGAAAAGGGGAAGAACACCAGCAACGTTATGAATGACCGCATCAATAAACTTCCTTATCGATGGTTGCCATTTTCTCCAGCATGTTCCACACCCACACAGGCGGATGCATGACAAAGAGTCCACCCAACCGCTGTATTCAACTCAAGGGGTCCTAGGTGGGTGGGGTGGCGAAGTGAAGAGGCGTTTCGCCCTCTCCCAGCAGCGAACGTGCCGACATCATGTAAAAAACCACGCACGCAGGAGTTTGGGGACGTGTGCATCGAATACAACCGGGACGAAACAAGGGTGCCAAAAGAGTACCCCCCACGCCGTGGCGCATCTTTGCTGTGATCACCGTGGTACTGGACGATACTGCCTTCACTGCCCATGGCATCATGCCCCCCCCCCCCCCCCCCCCGGGTTAA